GATCGTGCCAATGGGCACCCAGTACATTGTACTGTCCCTGTGGTTTTACGCACCCTGCATAATTTATCAACGTTTTATCTTTTTTTTTCTCATAATTTCCGATTACTTTCCTTTATCATTCTTATTTAAAATTAACAGAATCGCATAATTGCACATTTTTTGGCTCAGTTTGCATAATTTCAGAATTTGTCTTGCTTAAAACGACGGGGACAGTTTTATGGACTCCGCATAATTTAGCAAAATTTGATCATTTTTTGCATTATTTCTAATTATTTTCCTTTATTATTCTTTGTTAAAATTAACATAATCGCATAATTTCACATTTTTGGGATAAGTTTGCATAATTTTAGAATTGTTCTTGCATAAAACGACGGGGACAGATTGTAGTAGTCGCGCGACAGACAGGCGTTCGCTCTCCGAGCGTCACTGAACACGGAGTGTAGTAGGCGGCACGTCAGGCCTGTTGGGGACGGCCCAGTTAGACACAGGCTCACCATCAACTGAATTTTATTTTTCAATTTTTTTAACGGAAGAACATTCATTGTTGAAATGTTACAGAGTAATAATTTAAATTTGCTTTGATTTGCATGCAAAAAGAAAGAAATATTGAACAACACAAACTGAATTGACATAGAGGGACTTTAGGGCCTGTGACTAACTGGCATGCCTCCGGCCTATTGATGTGTGTGATAAACAAAAGCGAACAATGCACGGGCGATTCTACAGAGTAGGCCCCGGTTGGCAACCCATGCCTGATAGAAGCCCTCTCTTGCACCGGAACTATGGTCCATTAAAAAAAAACATTTCTTTGTGGATCTTACTATATAAAAAAAACCCAACTGACTCTCATACTGAAAGTTAGATAGAGACTAGAAGGTTTTATTCTGAGGTCCTTGAGATTTCAGTAAAAATGCCTTCCACGTCCACCTGTGTTGTGTTTAAGTTTAAGTGTACAACACCCCAGCAGAAAGACTGAGATACATCTTTTCTTTTTTTTTAAGAACTTTAAAATGGGTGGATTGCTTTCTATTTTGAGTGTATATTAGATGTAATCCAAACCTGTATCTTGGTTGGACAAGGTCTAGAGTCTAGAGTCTCTACATGTATCTTGTTTTCACACCAGTCATACACACCCTAAGCTTATTGGGTTCAATCAGTCTCAGTCGGACTTATTTTTATGTTTTTAATAATTTTAAGTCTATTCATCTCATTACTATTACTGTTGTCCAAATGGAAATCTGCGGCTCCATTTTTTAACCTAATGAAATCAGTACAGTAGAACATGACTATAGCGGCACCCGCTATAGCGGGACCTTACCGGAATCCTCGTTTTTCTTCCTCTGTAAACTCAGTTACTTATGCTTGGATATAGCGGGACAAGGAAAATCCCGAACTCGGATACAGCGGGAGAGATCGAGCGAGCTCTACCTTAGCCGGGGGGGAGGGCTGTAGGAGGGCTCCAAACAGGCAGTCGGCGTTGTGATTGGCTAGTCCAGGGATGAGTGAGGTCGGGCAGGCGGTAGGCCAAGAGAGAAATGGTGTGGAGAGAGAGAGAGATGGTGAGGAGAGACGCGTTAAACCACTCCAAACGAGATGTAGATCTGTAGGCCAAAGAGTAAAAGAAGAGGAGAGCGTGTAGTGTGTGATTCCTGATTCATTGAATTGCGATCGTTGATGCTCAAGCATATGCACGCATACACTTCATCAGTTCTACAGTAAGCCTACCTGTACGATAGACAGAACAAGCAACAAAACGAAGAAAAGATGGCTTCTAACAAATACAACAGGAAATGCTTTTCCCTCGAATGAAAGGCCGAGATAATCAACAAAGGTGACAAGAAAAGGAAGACTAATCAATTCAAAGGCGCAATTTTTATTGATATGTAAGGGATGTAATCATGTCATTTTCACTTGCCTCATTATAAGAAGAGATCATTGTGACCGGTCATCAAGGTTAATCACTTCGTTTTTGATCGCCGTATATGTTATAATTAATAAGGGTTAAAACACCGTAAAGTCAGTTTATTTAAAAGAAAGGGGGGGGGGGTGTACAGATTTTTGTACAGATTTTGGGCTTAACCATGAGTCACTGTGGATTTTTCCTTGATGATTCAGCCAAGATACCGTATTTCCCTTGTCTAGCATCTGCGTTTGTCGCGGCCGCGATGTTGGGCATTTTTTTTGTCCGCGAATTTTGCATTTTTTTAAAAGAAAAGGCTACTTCATAACATAGATGTGTATTTGATCATTTTAAGGTGTCCATGTATAGTTATTTTCACGCGAAGAATAATAATAAGTACATTTACTATTTATTATATTGCTGTTTGTCTTTTATTTTCCCCTCTTTGTTGGTGTGTTGATTTTTCCGAGGGTTATTTTTCCTATCTAGATATCTATTTGTGTGTGTGTTTATATAGCGTAATGCCATTTGATTTGACGTTCCTACATTTAAAAAAGATGTATTATGTTAAAGCGTGTCTCCACCAAAACCGAATATTGACACTGGCAGGCCCCTTGTGTGTGATTCCATAATTTACATGCAATATCCTGTACTTTTTCTTGAATTAAACACGTTGAGGGTTAAAACAGCCAATCTTCGTATAGGCGGACACACACCCTTATTTGTTACTTTTTGCGGTTGTTTGTGTGTTGTTCTAATTTTGATTTTATTCTGTTGTGAAACTTTTATTTTTCACGTTTTTACACTCTTTGTGGCTATAAATAATATTCTGGGTGCTAAAACAAAGAGCACAAGAAATTCTGGTGCTTTAGATCTAGATTAAGTTACCTCTACCAATATATCACGTTGTCACAGCTATTTGAAAGCTTGAAAAAAAGGCAACTGGCCATTTTTGTGGCAACTTTTGGACAAAAAAATGGCAACAAACGCAGATGCTAGCCTTCTTTCCCAAACAACGGGATCTTGGTTTTAGTTTTGGGCGGAAACTACCGTACTGTAGTGTACATGTTACTGTAGCCCCATCAATATTCAACCCTTTTCCAACGCAATGAATGAATGTACATGAAGTCTAAACCTAATCGGCGTTTTTTTTTTTTTTTTGTCCATATCTTTCTTGATTTCTAAACTATAACATTAGATTCTTAGATGAATGAGCAGTCCTTATCAGGTAGTCTTTTATTTTATTTTCCTGTTAAACAATCTGTCAGTTGTCATTGTGTCTTGTGAGAAGAAATGCACTACATATTTGTCGTGCCTCTCCGTAAAGCTGTTAAAATGTAGTCTTGTACAAAATGGTTTTCCCTGTATCGGGTACTATAATTTATTCATGTATAAATCTGTCTCAGAAAGATTGATATTGTCTGCACCGAATCTGTGAAAGAAGTTGAATAAAACCTTATTCCTCATTCGGCAGTTCTGACCTTCTTGAAATAATGATTAATCCTTTTCATGATGAGTCTGTCTTGTGCTTATTGCGAGGCATCCTCACCATCCAAAATAAAAGCAAATGTTATTTATTTATATTATTTTCGTTTCTCTTACTATCCACACACTTTCTGACGAGGACAGAGGGGGAACTGAGATTCATTTTGTTCAGAAAGCTGTTGGACAGTCCTCACCCTTCTCTGTTTGTGTCAGTTCATTTATTTCATCTACGTTATCTTTAGCTGGATTGACACACGTACCCTGAGCGCGCTTGTTGTGTTTCAGTTTTTTGTTTCGTAAGAGTTTTACGGCACGTGCAACACAGTTAGGTCATATAAGTGCCGAAGATTAGAATGTTTTAGTTTAAGTAAGGTTTTACGGCACTTTCTACGCATTAAGGTCATAAACGTGCTGGAGATTAGAGAATTACAAGAAAGTAACAAACACAAAAAAGGAGGAGAGATAAGGACGAAGGATTTTTTCATTAGGAAAGAAGAAGCAAACTACACCTGAGCCAACCATCCATGTTACACGTAGTCGTTTATGCTACATGTACGTGGGTAGTATTGCATACAGACGTATCTCCATCCAAGGCCGCCAAAAGTGACTTACGCCTGTAAACGTATTGCCCGCGTGAATAAAACTACAATTTTCTTCACATGAACTCTTCCTTTAGAGTTTAATACAGCCTTTGTGACACAAATAGGTCATTTAGTGCCAAAAGTTAGAGATACAGAGATACCATTTATACATGTACTAAATAATAAATAAATAATAATAATAGATAGCATTTGTATAGCGCATATCCCCGCTCAGCAGCAGGCTCTATGCGCTTTACACTATATTATTACCCCAGCAGACCATAGAACACTCCGAAACATTCTCAGCTTCCCGGGAAGCATACAGTGCAAGCAGCCGATTAAGCGCTCAAACACTAACAAACTGACAAGATCTTTCGCTGTCTATAGCCGGGTACCCATTCCCACCTGGGTGAAGTGAGGAAAATTCGTGTAAAGTGCCTTTCCCAAGGACACAACGTCAGGCCCTTGACGGGATTCGAACCCACGACCTTACGGTTGCGAGTCCGAGAGCCTAAACTCTTTACTAGAGAATTACATGTAAAGAAAAGAAGGAGGAGAGAATGGACGTTGGATGGTTGATGGGGAAAAAATAGCAAGCCACACCTGACCAATTTTCAACCACTCAAACACAAAGCAAGTAGGAGACAAAACGCTCATAATAAAGGAACAATATGATAGAATGACACAACTGAAGAGTCCAAAAACAGGAAGGAATCACTGCATGAAGAAATGGCTTCAGACAAAGGAGGAACAAGATAACACAGACTGAGTATAGAAGGACACAAAGAGAATTAAAGAGAATCATCAAATCAACAGTTCAGATGCTCTCAAAAACCTTCATTATTATTTCCTGGTCTTTTCCCAGTAACCATCTACTCAAGTTTTCTAAGAAAGGTATACTTGGTCTTCCTCTGCCTTTTACATTCCGTCTTTCCAGTGAGACATTGCCTATATTTTTATGGTGAAATTATATTCAAGAACATATCAGTCCACCCTTTACATGATAAGAAAAGGAGAATAACACATATCATATATATAAGCTTCTTAAATATACTTTATTGATTGTTTTTGTCGAAAAATATACTGATTTTTACTGAATTTGTACAAAATATTTGAAAAGATTGAAAGAATATCTTCTCCCTCCAATCAAGCCAGTATCATCTCTCCCATGTATTAATTAGACACAGCGGAATCAAGCGTTCGTCAATTTTCTGGCATACCTATATATAGAGTTATAATTGGTATCGTTTTCAAGCTTGTTCACTTGCTTTACTTTTGATGAAAGTGAAAGAAATACCCTCATAACCATCTCTCTGGAATAAAAGTCCATACATTTGCGATTGAAAATGGGGGTCTCCTGGTGTCAGAAGTAAAATTAGCAAGAAAAAGGCCAACAAATTTGGTAACTACCAAAACTTGAGTCTTTGGAAACTGAAAATTGTTTTTGCCTTTGATCAATGTTTTTCAGGGTTTTTTTAAATTAACACAGAAATGTGTTCTAAATTTTTTTAAGTTTACGTACAGGCTATTTTATAAAATAATTGCCGGAGCAATATTTGCCGTTTTCTTAGATTTTATTGATTTGACTAGCGCCTGATTTCACCATGATGCCCCAGAAGTAATGATGTTTTCAACAAAAGACAAATAAATTCATGCAACATAAACCCATGATGCCCCACAAGTAATGATGTTTTCAACAAAAGACAAATTTATGCAACATAAACTATCAGAGCAAAATCCTTATTTACAAAACAAAACGGGTCGAAGTTTTTCATACACTAATTTCTCTAATTAGAAAAACTCAGCTAAACCCCACAAAAATTGGCAGTTTCGCAGATTATGGTTTAAGCAGACTCCACTGCATATCAGCACAAAGTCCATCTACATAAAATGTTCTATATCACGTCAGACTTGCTAACCACCCCGTGACCAAAAATAGCAGTTTTCCTCTACATCCTCCCCAAAAATACAAGTTTTGGGGGAAAAAAATCCATGGTCTCGAGAACCCCAGTAGATTAAGATTACATAACAAACCAAGAGTGGCAAATATAATACATGTTCATTTTTGCATCATACAACTATAAAAGTGTATTTTTACGTTGTTAATGATAAGTTGCGCAAATAATATTGCAAACAAACACAATCAAAAATGTGTATTTTCCCATCATTTATGAAAAGTCATGAATTCTTGTTGAAAAAGGATTTAAAGAACAAAGAACCCCCAGGATTTCATGAAAATCTGATTGAGGTTCCTCAATCCTATTTGATCAGAGTACTAAGCAGGTCAGTTGTACAAATTTTGCACCAATTTGTTTTCTTAAAAAAGTCCCTGAGCCAGTGATCACATATCGACAGCGTCAGTGCTTCCATTGGACAAAACACAAAAGTAAGACAAATTCTATGCTTGGGGGTCAAAGTTCAAGGATATTGTCCTGGATTGGGGGGGGGGGGGGGGTGCAAAAGGCAGAACCCCCCCCCCCCCAGAGGAAAGTAAATTTTGTGCTTGCTTCCGGAATGTTGAAAATGGCATTTGGGAGCAAGTTTGAAGAGATTACAAATTACCAAAAACCCATAGTTCCAACTTTTTCACCAGGTTTTGCCTTTTTTTAAAATTCAGATTGAAAAGATTTCTGTAAAACTAGGGAAGATTGAAAGCACTGGGTGTTATATGCTCAAACTGTGAAACTCCTTTCTGGAAAATTTATCAGCAGGCTAAAAGAGTTTGGATTTGAAGAAGACCCAAAAGTTAGCTAGCAGTGCTTCAGGTTACAGCTATTAGAAACCTGGCAGAACAATTCAAATGCAATTTGATTTTGACAGAGCGTGGATTTTCATCTCAATTTTCTCTTCCCATTGTAAAATAAAAGCATGTATTTTATATACATCTAAAATCATTGAGGTTTTCATACAGAAATACTTTGCACTTGAGGATTATAAAACAGAGTGATTAGTGGAGCTAACTAGAGTAATAAATTTACCATGCACGCAGACTCCTGATTTTAATGAAGCCGCAAATGCACCTCGACAATGATTTCAGTACCAAAGAAAATATAACTTGACCTTTTCTTCCTGACACAAGGTAAGAAAATTACACTGTCAAACCGGTGCACAGGAATAGGTAATCAGACTTGGGAAGGTAAGTTTGTCCAGTCAATCGGTGTCTTTCCATCAGCCTTCAGCAGCTCGTTACAGCGAGAAAAATGGTTACACCCGAAGAAGCCACGGTGAGCTGACAGAGGGGACGGGTGGACAGACGTCAAGACATGGTGTTTTTTCTGAGGAGGATACGGAGGAAAAAAACATGGGCATGTAAATAAAGAATCCGTTTACTAGGCCCTGGTGTAAACCATTTTAAAAAAGAGAGGGGGAGGGGAACCATGTTATGTCATTCTTACCACAAAAAAAAAATTAAATAAAGGTCACATGACAATCCTTTTCTATGACTTATTCCAAAGTATGTATACACTGGTATTAAATCATTTTTTAAAAGCTAAGCATGTGTGTGTTAGTGTTAGTGTGTGAGGGGGGGGGGGGGGGGGGGGAGAATCCATGGGTGTGTATGATTCCCAAGTTGGGATGTTTTAGCCAATATCTCTATATGTTGGGACGTGCATCCCACTCAGCCCGGGTTGGCCCTGGCAAGCATCATCATCATTGTCATCATCCAATGCCAGATTTGCGGCAGACATCGGTGATCATGGCTCTCCATTCATTCTTTTGCTCGGATGCTCTTAAAAAAGCTACGCTTCCCTGATCTTTCCCCGTTACCCATTTATTTAAGCTCCCCAAATAGGCTGCTCTGGGACTATCCCTGCCTTGTTTGCCTTCAATTTTGCCAGTGAGAGCTAGATGTTCAAAACCTTTATAATGTATGTCTATTCAGCCTCTTTTCAACAACAACAAAATACAGTACAAAGGTAATTCACTCTTTCTGAAATATTGGATAAAAAGAGGAATAAAAAACATTTACCAGGTTTATGACAGGGGAAGGGTGAAAACAAAAGAAGAAATGAAACACACAATAGGAAATTATGCAGGCTTTGACTTTGATTATTATGCTCTAATTAATGGCCTACCAAAATCATGGACAGAGCAACTGAACCAGAACAACACACTGGAACACAGTCAGTGTGCAGCAGTTGTGTGCGAAAGAATTAGTGCTGAAAGCCTTCAGGTACTTTGTAGCAACAATCAGGAGTTACGACGAATTGTCTTGGGGTGGGAGCAGGTTCAAGTATGCGGTAAGAACTTTTGGTTGAAAAAGCTTGGAGTAGACATAGCAGATAGGTATAGTTTAGCACATATGGCCACGCAAGAATCTCGTCTTCGCCTTCTACATTTTAAAATACTTCACAATATATTCCCAACAAATATCTTGTTGAATAGGATGGGCATAAAATCTTCAAGCAGACTTTGTCGAACATATGTTTATCCACTGTTCACGATTAAGGGGTTTTTGGAATCATGTGTTTCAGCTGATCTTCCAAATCACAAATACACATTTTCCGATGACAGACGCCAATATTCTACTCGGCGTGAGAAAGGAGGGTGGAGTAAATAGTAGTGTAGTAAAAACAGCAAATCATATTATACTGATTGTAAAAATGTGCGTCAATAAAATGAGGTATGGTGACGTAAAGTATATCTTCATATTATTTGAGATCGAATTTGAACATAGGAAAAAGTCTCTGTAATATTTGATATCACATATTGCACTCTATTTAAAGTAAAACACAATGCATATCGATAACAACTTTTTTCTATTATTTTCCAGGTGCTAGCGGCGACCTTATTTCCGTGTTTATATATCCATGTTCTTGTTTCAAGGAGCTGTACCTAGGGTTCATCGATAGCTCTTGTGGTGGGGAGAGCATTGTTTTAATATATGCTGCTTGCAGCACAGCACAAATAATCTGAACGAAAGGAAAAGGTAATGCACGTTTAGTTACATAGTATTATAAAATGGCATTATATTATAACACTGTTCAATACCCCTTTAGATATAGTTAATGGACGCCTTATGTTTGGAAAAAAGATGGCAAGTCTCTATAGTATAACCATTCCCTCAGCACCCTGTTCACCAAATTATAATTAACTGTCACTGTATATGCTTACATGATAGGTATATGTCTCTCTCTATCTCTCTCTCTATTCCCTTCTTTCCAATCCGCATACTCTTCGCTGTGTCTTTCTATCGCTATCTGCTTCTGTCTCAATATGGCTATCTACCTATCTGTTTACCTTCCCCAGCCCCATAACTTCATATCATCGCCGTCTTATTCATTGCCCGCAACTAAGCCTTTCACATCTCGCCACCCCCCCCCCCTACTGCCCTTCCCGCTCTCTCATTCCCTCTCACGTCTCTCTCTCTCTCCATCTCTATCTCTACCTCTCTCTATCTATCTATCTCCCGCTTGCTCTCTAGTCATTTCTAACCACTAAAACATATTCAGCCAGCATTTCCACAAAATTGGCTTTTTTAAAATGTAGGAATTGCTTCCAACGTTAGCAATGGAAGTAGATCCACCAATAATGGACGAGACTGGGAGGATTCAGACACAGGGTACTTGATTCGGGAGTTTGAGGTCGCTCCCCCTGAGGCGAGGGGATACAATATTCTGTGTAAATTGTGCCCTCTCGATTTGGGCTCGAGGATCCTGCGCCAGAATCTCTCCAAGCTCAATCGGACTCGAAAAGATTACTAGGGGCAAAGGATCAGGGAGTAGAATGCTGCAATTGTAAAGATCATAATCTGCCAACTTGCTATTTACAACCCGCTTACAAATACCCCCAACATACCTGCCACTATACTGTCTTCCCACTTAGCTCCTCTCAACACTTGTCTTGGCCCGATAGAATAGGCTAACACTAACGATGTCACCTTAGCAGAGACTGAGCCCACCATTTCGGAACTTCATGGTGACTGTAAAGATGGTTCCAGTAGGGAACGGGATAGAGGGTGCCCACGTCCCTCGTGACTCATTGGAGCAGAGGAAGATAGGACTAACGCTAACAGTACTTAAACGAAATCCCTCATCATCACTCATCACCACTATTAATGTTAAAATCATCACCTCTCTCAGATCAATGACTTACATCTATAATCCCGGAATCTCTATCCGCTATTACAGTTAATTGATATACTAAGTATGCGTGTAATACACTATTGGACACAATCATATGCACTTTTTTCTACTAATCAGATGGCGTCAATCTCATAAATGGGCAAGGAAAAAAAAAAAAGAGTCGGGGGGGGGGGGGGGGGGGGGCGAAAATACAATTATATAAAAGCCCAGCAGAGGTGTGAAACATGGACAGTCAGAATCAACAGAGTCCCAGTTTTAAAAGCCATGGTCCATTCACTTACCCGTGCCCAAGTTTCCACTGATATGTCACCTCTTGACTAAATGCACTGGGAATTTGCACAGGGTTTTAAAATGATATTAACCATCACGAATATTTTTTTGCCCTGCAAAAATTTAAGCCATTACTACCAACTTCTTTTCTTTTTTTAATGTAATATATGGCTTTGCTTGAACTGCAATTTAGAATAATTTATACTACCAAGGTAGTAACAAAAATGATTATTTCAAACCAGGACTCACATTTTCTCCAAGCTGCACTTTTTTTTCATATTTTCAAACCCCCAAAACTGTGTGAAAAAACTTGTTATGGCAACATGCCTTCATCACAGTAAAATTGAAGTGTCAGGTCATGAACCTTGCAACATTCCACTTAAATCAAAAGAATTTGAAACTTTGAATTAACTGCCTTACGTGCAGATTAAAAGGCAAGGAAATCATATGGTCAGTGAAAATGTATAAGATGGTATGTAAAAAAGTAGAGCAATACAACAGAAAGTGGGTTGGGATTTTTTTTTCTTCTTAAACTGCTAGAAACTGAGCACAAGAAAGTGAACGAACTATAAAGAAGTTTTCAGCCCCATTGACACAATGTAAATCCATATAACGGCAACACAAGTACAAAAAAAATGAGAGGAGGACAACAAAAAAAAAGAGAGGACAAAAAAAATTAGGAGGACAAATAAAGATAATTGTTGTTTGATAGGAAAGAAGTAGCAAACTAAACCACAAGAGATAAGGACGACAGATGTCCGATAGGAAAGAAGGAACAAACAACACCAGAGCAATTGCCAACCACCCACATTCACCTTGTTGATAAACTGTCCTTTCTTCTGAGCGTACGCCCCCCACAACAAGAAGACAGTCCCTGAGGAGTGCGAGTTGAGCCAGTGAATCACAGCGTCTGTCAGTTTCTCCCAACCTTTCCCGGCGTGGGAGTTGGCCGCTCCGCCCCGCACTGTCAGACAGGCGTTGAGTAACAGGACTCCTGAAACAGACAGACAAACAGACACACATTAACTCTTTATCTCCGGCACAATAGCTGAAAACCGGTCTCTTTTACCTGAAGTTCATTCATTAGATGAAGAACTATCAAAATAGGTCAGCTAGTTTCGATTTAAAGACCCATTTAATCACGTTTTTGTCATTTTTAAATTTAGTACCAAAAAAGGGCCCCGGCCTGGTGGGTTTACCCCCCTTGGAGATAAAGAGTTAAGTAACAAAACTTCTGAAACGGACAAACATACATACATTGAGTATCAGAACCCCTGAAATAGACTGACGAGCATACATTAACCCCTTCATGACACAGGGTCAATTCGTGCTGCACAGTGCAGTTTTGGAAACCCAAGGACATAGAGTAGCAATAGATTTGGTGGTCAGTTTCCTATGATTAGACCCTGGTTTCAAATACATTTGACAAATTTAAAAGGAAAAAATTTCTTTCTATGGAATAAATATTCCCGAATGCGAATCTGCCATCCATTTTACAAAATGCATCAAATTGAAGCAGAATACAGGATTATACAACCTATGACATACAGCGTTCGTGATCATGGTCCTCGTGCTTCGCAATACATGACGAGTGCCGTACGTCACAGAAGCATTTAGGCACATTCGCCGTGTAAGAAAAAAATGATGAGCAGCGTCCGTCATATAGGTCACAAAAGGGTTAAGTCACATAGCTACTCAGACAGACAGGCACACAAACAGAAATATGTACATATGGAGTTTGTTTCAGTAAGAGATTTACAGCATTTGCAATTCAAATAGATTTTGTACAAGTGACGATAATAAGCTGATTAACTACTAGAGAGTAGCATACAAAAAAAAGAGAAAGGAGGATTGCTGTTTGACAGGAAAGAATGAGCTAACCAAACCAGAGCACCTGCCATCCAGCCACAGAGACACACATATATGAAGTCTCACAGCTATTGAAACAGACAGGGCAAGCAAATTTAAAAACATACACACATTGAGCAAAGCTCCTAAAACAGAAGGACATACAGAAAACTTACTGTCTCTAACTGCGACATTATAAGAATAATATTTGTACATTTTGCTTTGTCTTTTTTTTTTTTTTTTTTACTGTTTTACGGCACTTGCAACACAATATGGTCATATAAGTGCCGTAGATTTAGAGGTGTTACAAGAGAGTAACAAACACAAAAAAGGAGGGAAGATAGATAGGAAAAAAGAAGCAAACCACACCAGAGCACCCGCCAACCACCCACTTGCTTTGTCTGCTAAACACAAAAGCATCACTTCATGGGAATGGACAGGGGGAAAAAAACAACCCAAAAAACCTTATTTACAAAGAAAAAGAGTAGAGCCTTAGAAGACATTGTTATAGAGGAAAGAAAGAGCAAACCACACCATGGAGCACCCACCAACCACCAAAATTAGATGTTTGATAGGAAAGAAGAAGCAAACCACACTAGAAAATCTGCCGAACACCTATACAGACAGAAACAACTGAGGGAAAGTAAAGAAGTAGGACCGACCAGAAGTACCCTCCAACCACTTGAACACACAGCAGGTTTACGGTTCCAACAGAACACAGAGTGAGTTGCCTACCTTGAGCAGCCCAGCCTGTCAGATTGCCATGACCAGGATGCTTAAAGCCGTCCACGGTCGCTGTCAGTTCTTTGAACATGTTCTCCAGGCTGAGCAAAAGTAGAAAATTTGAGTTGTCAGTAATTTGAGTAAAGAAAAGCACATTAACACAATAATGGTTATTTAATGCTGAGGAAAAGTATAGCTTTGGCGGAAAAAGAAGTAAATTTGACAGAATAATGGTTATTTAATGCAAGGGAAAAGTAAAGTTTTAACCAAAACAAAATACATCCACACAATAAAGATCATTTAATCCATAGAAAAAGTAAAAATGGCATCGTGGTGAAATCAGGAGCTCCCAAAAAAGTTAAATAGAAGAAACCGTCCTCGTTCCACCAGTTAGGCAATTTTTATCCATTTATTTGTTTTGGGTCCAAGACTGTTTGCTATAGGTTATATTCAGTATACTTATACTGCTTTATCAGATGCAGTAAAACTGTTTGCATAGTAGCATAGTCACATTCAGCAACATGTTCTCTGTACAAAGAAATCTTTACTTGTTTTAAAGATAGTAACTAATTACATATAGTATTTTTGTAAACCAGGTCTAATTATAAACAACTGCGATGCCGGGTGAAGCTTTTCTTTCGCTTTGGGCACTGCTCCATCAAACAAAGTCACATAAACTTTGAAATCGCATTTCAAACTCAGTATTTTTGGTGGAAAGGCTTGACCCGGAAGTCAACATTATATTATGATCTTTATTTTAGCATGGATATGAGGATTGGAATAGATTCTAAGCTAGAATTGCAGGTCAGTTCTCGAGCCATCGAGGGTGGCTTAGCGTATGCAACTCACGGCTCGACGTTGGGAATGGGTTACTGGTCAAAGAGTATAACAGTGGCTCTATGATAGAGGGTTAGCTTTTTCATGAAACGCAAGGCAAATGAACAAGCTTAAAGGTTATACCAAAACCTTCATGTGCCCAAAAATTGACGAACAACCCATTCCACCATGTCATGACACAAATGCTTCTATTACTATCACTTTAACCATGTGATATACTTTTATATTTTGCGATCTTATCTTAGCTACATGTGCATCCTCTAACCACTAGTAACTAATCACAACACCAGAAATTGACCACTAACCTGGGAGGGGGCTTGATGCCAGGTAGGACACTGAAGCACAGCCCTGTCAAAAAAAGAAAAGAAAACACAGCAGTCAGTCGACTCTTGTGTATTCCAGTAGAAAGTCAAAAAGAACAGCAGAGGTGAAGTCAGTCTGGCTCTTCAGATACCACCTACGATTTGTGCCAATGTACGTTTGTACTTTACTATCCTGTCCATATTGAAGGTTGGGCATTTTATGTAATTCATTGGAAGATACAACATGGTCTTTGAGGGCCTTTACAGATCTCCCAGTAAAAAGCCTTAGGATCCTGAAGGGACAATGAAAGTCACTCTTTTGTAGCAGTTTTTAGTTTTAGTAGAGATTTTACGGCCCTCGCAACTGCATAAGGTCATATGAGCGCCAGAAGATTAGATGTGTTACAAGAGAGTAACAAACATAAAAAAGAAGAAAGGGAGATATTTATAAGGACAATAGATGTTCGATAGGAAAGAAGGAGCAAACCACACCAGAGCACCCACCTACCACCCACATTAAAGGTCTAGCCATACATTCTTTTGGAACTTACTGAAATAAACACGAAGTGTTCAATCCTCATTTAGGCCACATTGTTGTTGTCACTTCTCTTGCCAGGATAGGACAATTATTATAACATTATCAATTGGAGTGGCCCTTCAGTGAATTTTTCTGGCTTACCTTTATTAATTAATCGGGTCAGAGACACATAAATAGCTTCAAACTCTGGTCTCTCTAAATCTAAACGAGGAGAGTGTGAAAGGGGTATGTTTCCCATTAGGGGAGCTAAAATAGGCAAAAATGGCTAGAGAAAAAAAAATTAATCAAATTCTATCAAACAGTTCTCACCAATGTTATTCGTATTCTCTTGTGTGAGAGGCTGGCGGTGTCTTAGTATGATTAGCTCCTTCCTTTCCTATCAAGCATCTATAAACAACCCTTATCTATCCTCCTTTTCTTTGTATTATTATTCTCTAAACTCTACCTTAAGCATTTTTATCTTATAAGACCTATTTGTGTTGCAAGTGCTCTACAACTCTTACTAAAACAATTCTCTTGTTTCCACCTACTGTTGAAATATCCCTGTATTTACTTACATTCTCATAGTCCATGACAGTCAATTACAAATAAAATTATTAGCAAGGCACCTGAAAAAGGGACATGGAACATAAAAAAAGAGAGGTTGAGTCCTAAATGGTGCCAAAACAAAACATGGGGAGAAAATTTACCGTGTGCTTGACCTGGACCGTGGTAAGGATCTTGACCAATGATGACAACTTTGACCTGCTCAACGATCAAAGAATAATGAGACATCAGATCTTTTGAAGTTGAAGTCAAAGAGAAGACAATCAACAGTAGTACAGTGGAATCCTGTTATAACGAGAGGGAGGGGACCGGTGCGAAATGTCTGTTATAGCAGGATTCTCGTTATTAGGGATCCAGTAATAAATTCAAGGGAAATAGTAAAGTAGGCCTTATCTATAAGTTTGGTGTTCTGTTTATTCCTTTTTGTATTTCCCCTGATGATGATTTTGTTCTACATGATCTCTAGGTCTTACTTGATCAAAAATTGAATCAGGTTTCTTTCTCTAGCACTAGCAATGTTGACAAATCGGCTTTGGCGATCAGAAAGAAGGGGCTCTGGCTCTAGGCTAACTTGCCCGCTGTGTTGTTCCCCACCCCACCACACCCTGTGGTGCGTTGCGTCTGCTTGCGCACGTCAAACATTCACTCCATCTATCACAGCATTGTGACCTCTCCATCCCGCACCAGAGAAGTGAGAGGCACGGTAGGCTTAGATAATCTAGACTGGGCTGGCCTATCACACGATGCGTTCTGCTTGTCTGCGAATGCCACACCCTCCCCACTCATTCGCTCCGGCCTTCATTGTTGGTTCGCGTGGGCTCTCCCGTTCTTTGTTTCGCTGGATCACCAACAACTTTCTCAACTGGCGAGGTTTTATATATATATATGTTTAATTGGTCTGTGTGCTGTGCACAGCAGCAGCATTAATCTGCTATAACCGACTCGCGTGACTATCTAATTGCGCAATAGCAGTATTTTATTTACAAAGATAAAGAAGGAAAAAAAACGGGGTTTTAGAATAGTGTCTTTATAGCAGACTTCTCGTTGTTTCAGCACTCGTTATAAGTGGACTCCACTGTACAATTATTCAATGTTGGGGAAGCAGCAAGACTGACAGAGAGAACAAAGCTATAGTAAAGAAGTAAGATCTACTCGTGATGTCCTCCAACAAACATAAAGAGCATCCACTGCTGGGGAGCGCATTGTAAAAAAAGAAAGAACTCTGAGCTTACTCTCATTTTATTTTTTTTTTACCCCAGACAAACGGTCATAAGACTTAGAAATCGAAAATATAGAGTGTGGAAAAAAAAGCACTCAATTCCTACATGATAGGCATTTTTCTTCTTTTTTTTGGGGGGGGGGGGCACTTGTCCAAAGATCTCCATGACCAAAAGTAGGAGCTTTCCTCAGAACTGGAACCCTTCTTAAAAATTGGAATCTCCAAATGAAACCTACACGAGGCCTACATTATTTTTATGTCAGATCAGACTAGATCATCACCACATAAATAGGCTATAATGAGTAAGAGAGGGGTAAATGTAACAGTTTCTGTAACAAATGAAGGAAGAGGACATATATTACGATGGTTGGTTATGAGACATCCTATCAGATATCCAACCCATTTAAAATACAATCTTTTTTAATTTTCCCAAATTCTTATACTAAGAGATACATATCCTCTTCTCTTGACCTACTAACCCTGATCTGCAAGAGCTATCCCCCACCCCCCTCCCCCCGCGCAATCAAATCAGACGAAGTGCATGGGACTAATAGGAGCATGCTGTTGATCCGGAAAGGCGCTATATATAATATATATATATATAGATATATAAATGCAGTCATAAGTTATATCATAAAGTGAGCCAGCCTCGAACAACTTGCATTAATTAGCAAAAGTCAAGCTGATAAGGTGACCCTTGCCTCTGTCTCAATGAACTACAAGCTCACTTACAGACTGTATGCTGCATGCCGTAGTCCATGTAAACACTTGCTCAGTGGGTGGGTACACAGCACTCTTTTTCCTCTCACCAGCCACAAACTTGCTCAGCTTGTAAGTTTCATATGGGGAAGAAACAGGGTTACGATGCTTAGTAAGAATTTTACAGCATTTGCAACACAATTATAGATAGGTCTTAGTGCTGAAGATTAAATTTTTATTAGAGGTGTTACTGGAGAATACAAAAAAAAAAAAAAAGGAGATATAAGGACATAGATGCTCTTCTGTTGAACAAGTAAGCAATAACAGACCACATCTGTCAACCACCCACAGGTTAAAACGAGTTGCACCCTCTGACTAAACTGTACAACCACAACACACTTCGGCAAGAACAGGAAAAATTAGATCTAGTCACATGAAACAGAAGTAGACCGAGAAGACTATTTCAAAGTACAGAAAAAGCAAGCAACATATACAGGCACATACCAGTATCACATATGTCAGCTAAAAGTGGGTAAGAAAATTCACTTGCATAAATAAATATATATCATATCAATTGTGAAACAGTGTAAAAATTCTTCAATTAAAGGCATATTATATACAGCATCATTACTGACAATCTAGCAGACTTTGAGTTGAGTTTTAACCCTCACATCCAATGACAGGCTGCAGAAAATGTGGTGTCTGCACCATCCTTGAATGCTTTCAAGAATAGGATTGACATGGTCTGGAAGGAACATAAATTCTCTATGAACCTAGATTGGTTTCAAACTGCCAGATCCATGTCCCATGAGCACTAACCTACAGGTACCAGAGTCTGAAAACAACGTGCAAGAACGAATAAGCAGCAAAAGCAATGAACGGCTGATATGCACCTAGTCTGACCACAGCCGTACTTCATACTACTACTACTACACTAGGGTCATGTAAGTCTTTATCAAATAAAAATCATCCCGTTGTAGTAGATCTAGTTAGAAATAGTTTTGGTGGTTATCTGTAGAGATGGAGTTAAAAAACTAACTAGGAAGTGACACACGAAAATGTCAACACAACGCATGTGTTGTTACCTCCACGAGGTACTCTTTGCCAAACTCTGCCTCTAGAGCTCTGAACCACGTCGGCCCCACATTCACTATTTGTCCACATGTTTTTGTTCCAAGAAGTTTGAGCTTTGCTTTCAATTTGTTTTTTTCAAGATTTCCTTTTTCTTCCTCAGAAAGTGACGATGGTGTTGTCAGTGTTGAAGGAGATGACGATGGTGTTGAAGGAGATGACGGCTGTTTTGAGGGGAGCGTTTCCTCATCAGTAACTTCTGAAACTTTTGCTTTCTTCTTCACAGGCTCCTCAGAACTTGCTTTAGTTTCCTATGTGGATGAGAAAGGAAAGCATATCATTATCTCAAACTCAAGCAGATCATAAATTTACAAACTTATGACATGATGAGAAAAGGTTACTTCCAACAAAGATACAAAGTGGTGCCGGTTTAGTTGAAGGTCTACAACAACCTTGCTCAACTGTCCCATCCTTTCGACCAGTCTACAGCAATCTAGGCAGTATCATACCCTAAAGTGTCTTGCCTGATTGACCCATGTGACGACAATGCTGAATCTAGAATAGACTAGCCTTGCCTTTACTAAAGCCAGCCTTGTTATTATTATGGTTATTATATATTATTTTTTTATTATTAATTATTATATTATTAACTCACGACTTTGTTATCCGATTTTGTTGTCAATGGACTTGAAAAGAATGATGAAATTTTCATCTGACCAGGCATTGTGGTTATTCTTTTTCTAAATAATGTGGAAGGTCTACAGGTATAAACTGTTTGTCCGCCAGTGTGTCGCAGTACAACACGAGAACACCACAACAAAACAAGACTTCGCGCCATACGGCTAAAAATAAACAGTGTCGGTGCAAAACAGTGGTTGCCAGTTGTCAGTCCGACTGCCAAATAAGTAAAGTGTGTGAGTTTCGTGAAATCGCAAAGAGCGCCGATAAGATATGCCACTGAAATGTGTGTGAGTGTGTGTGTGTGTCTGCTTGTGTGTATGTGTGTGTTTGTTTGTATCTATGTGCGTGTGTGTGAATGTTTGTGTAGGTGTGTGTGTTAATGCGTACGTATTTCCATGTCAATGCATGTGTGTGTGTTTGTGTGCGCGCTCCGGCGTCTCTGGTGCAACGCTGGTTATTAAAAGAAAGTGTGTGTGTGTGTGTGTGTGTGTGTGTGTGTGTGTGTGT